TGAGCTGACTGGACAAGGTGACTTGAGCATGCTGAAGGGACAGTGCATCATCCACTGTCCCTGTGTGGCTGGGTCTCCGTCCCACAGCTCCCCTGGGGTAGAGGATCAGGACTTTGACTTACCAGAACAATTGAGCCCTAAGCACGTGACACTTATTGGATACTAGCTGGGAAGAATTTCACTCCCATGCCAACAAAACCACTGGGAAAGACAGTGAGGTGAGAACGTAAGTCAGACTCCTGTGCATAACTGCACCACATGCCAACCCCTGTTTCTTGCATTCAGTTTAGTAGGGGCAGAACGCAATGTGACAGGAAGCTATACTGACGCTTTTGCAGCTCTGATTTTTGAAGGTTCTGGGTAAGCTTTTTATTTTTGTTAAATGAGGGGTGCGGAGGAATGTTATGAATGTAACTATATTTCAAGGAAGGGGAGGGCACATGTTTATGGCTGTTGGCCTTTCTCCTGTGATAGGTGCACTTATTGCCTGCTTTCTAGTGCAGTTCTGCAGAGCCCAGTCACTAACTTTTACCCTGCGCTTTCCTGTGGGATTGAGAACAGACCTTCCCGCCCACTTTTTTGTTGCCTGGGAAAACATTAACAATGTTTTAAACACAGCAGGCCTTGATTCGCCAGCATGTGGAGAAGACTTTGCCAGCAAAAAAGCAGCCCTACCCAGCAGATCTAGACACTGGAGTATTCCCCATGCACCAGGGAATCTTTAGGTGATACAGAGCCTTGTATGCCACCCTTTCTCGATGTGGCCAGAGAACGGGGGGACAGTGGGGGAGGGGGTACATGGCATGGCCAAGGTTACCTTATTCCTGCCCGATTCCCAGCTGCACAGACAGCCCCTGGGGGCCTCTAGAAACTAGTGTTTATTTTGAGGACCAGTCCGCACACAAGGACCCCAGGATCAGAGGTGTATAATTCTTGCAGTCTCCCTCCAGCCTTGTGTTAAGTGCCTCTAATGTTACACCAGGGAATCAGTGGGAGCCAGCTTCATTCTGCCCCATCTTACCCCCCACCCCCCATCCAACTCCAATGAAGTCAATGAGATGACATGGGGTATAAGTAAGGTAGGGAAGATTTTGCCCAACTCTGTGGAAAATTTGTTCCAGAATTAGTGTATTTCTCCTGAAATCTTTTATTTTTTTATTATTTATTAATTATTATAATTATTATAACAAAACAATGAGATTAGGATCGTAATAAAAAGTGTATGAATTTTTAATATTACAACTCAGGCACAAAGACTTTCTCTAGCTTCCAATGTTTCTGGAGCAGAGAGGCAGGTTGGAACAATAGCCCATGATGTAAAAGGAAAAATTAAATACTGTCTGACATTTCTTTTCATGATGGGTTCATCCTCAGTACCAAGTATTGTGCTTCACTGCCATAGGGAACAGATGCTATTATTATTACACCGCAGAGGCAACTCTGTTATCAACAATTTCCACGTACAGATATTTATTTGGCATTACATAGTCCATGTATTTAACATGCACTAAACTTTCCTTTAAAATTGGCTGCTGTGGAGTAGTCAAGTTTTTAAAGCTGTCTCTTTCCCAGCTACGTAGTTATGATATATGACCTTACTTTGATCTGATTAGAAATGCTCTGCGCAAGAGTGAAGTGTGTACAGGACTCGGGGGACATCGCTCTATTTAAAAACAAAACAGAGCCCTAGCTTGGTTTCCCAAGCCAAAAATGTGGAACAGATATAAACTCTTTTGTATTTGCCTGTGATTCTAAGGATAATGGTAAAAATACCGGGCTGGAATGCATTCAGGATAATAATGATGCTCAAAGGATATGAAGAGCAGAGAGTGTAACATTTTGTAAGGCACATATCACAGAGTCAAAATAATATTACAATATAACATTCATAGATATATACCTGACTGGGTTAGAAAATAATTATTAAATCACACTTCAGATGCCTGTCTGGATGTCTCCAAAAGCTCCATTTTTATGCCAAGTATAGATTTCAAATGTCAGACTGAAAATACATGCCAATTGAAAGGGCTGATTGCCAGGATTTATCAAATCCATTCATTTACATATAAATCACAATATCCAATATTATGGAAAGACAGGTGAAACCTAGAATAAAGAGAGGATGCCTTCCAATCCCCATGTTTAAACATAAATTGGACAGGGACTGCTTGGAAAACACTACAAATACAGAGGGGGCAAAATATATCAGTAGCTGGTTAATAAAATAAGGGGTCTTGTTTTCATTTTGTCTAAACAGCTGCTTGCACTTTGCATGTTCCTTTAGTAAACTGCAGTATATGTTACAAGAGCCTGACAGGTATTAGCATATGCTTGAGTACGTAAGAGCCAAATTCTCCTCAGTAATACTGATGCACCTCCATTAAAGCCAGAAGGGTTGCATCAGTGTCCTTTATAGTAATCTCCCTTCAGAAGTAAATCAGAGATTTCAGGCTACCCTTAAACATGATGGGGAATTAGCTTGGTCCCACTGAAGTCAATTACAAAACTCTCATTGATTTCAATGGGAGAAGGCTCAAGCTCATGATGAGCCCTGATCCTGAACACGCTTATGCACATGCTTAACTTTATGCAGGTGTGGAGTTCCATTAATGTCTATGAGACTATCATGTGTGTAAAGTTAAGCAAATGCTTGGAGAATCAGAGCTTTGGTTTGCTGAAGAGCCTTTCAGTTGAAATGAAACCTACGAGGTAACACAACATAATAATAAACACTCAAAAATCTTTATTATGAGTGGGGTGAGGTGGTCTTATTACCAGAGATTTTCTCATGTAATGCTCTCGTTGAATGCGGGACTTGGTATATCCTAAAGCAATTGTTTGTAATTACTACACAGCACATCTGCTTTGGGGGCTGATTTGTGGAGGAAATCCACTTAACTGGAGATGGTAAATTTGATTCCCTTGTGAAAAGAAACCAGGAACTCCACAGCAAAATGAATCTGGTTCATCATGAACTCTGGAGTATAATATTTACTAGAGACAGGTAGCCGCAAAATTCAGATTCAATTCTCAAACATCACAGAGTTCAGGTGTATTTGGATCATTGTATTATAAAGGTATTTGTATAACTTGCATCTGAATCTGGGTTTAGAACCTTTCCTTGTCTGGGTGCTAAAATCCAGGCTTTGGTTCTGGCTACCATGCAATGTACAACAGAAAAAGTCAGCTCTACCCACTGTGGTTCTGCCACTGGGGTAGCCAAGCAGGAAGAGGGCAAAGATTTCAAGGAGCTGTCCAGTCTGTGGAGGTCTGGAGAGCAGATTACAATACTGGGATATCCACCACGTGAGAAACAATGTGAAGCTGAGAATTAACGAACACAAACTAGAGGAGAATAAAGGCTTTGAAATGCCAGAGCACTGTACAAAAAGGATGTAAGGATTATTATTCGATGCTGAAAAGAGTGAGTGTTAGTCACTTGGTACTCCTAGAAAGGAAAGCCTGAGATTCCCAAAGTGTTGCCTGTGTCACGAGGAAGAAGGACTAGCCACCCACCTTCTTCTTTCTTTTTAAAATGAGCTAAGACTTCACATGCAGCTTTGGAGCTTGCAGACATATGGCTTCAGTGTGTGTGCCCTTCAAAGAGAAACACGAGCATTCGTGGGCACCAGGCCTTCCTTATGTGCTACTCTGCATATTTATAGCGCAACCACAGAATAACCTAGGAGACAAAGCACAGAAAAGGCAGCCTGTTTTCTTCCACCACAAGAGTCTGATTAAAAACATACCTATGTGAAAGCTACAGTGCAATACTTCTTACGCTTCTGTCATGTGAAGATTTAAAAACCAAGGGCCAAATTCTGCCCTCGGTAATACGTGTGGAAGCCCGTTCCAGGCTCTGTTGTGGCTACTAGCCATGAACCTTCCTTGGGGGTGGAATGGAGGAGCACCACTCCAGCACTGACACTGCTGTGCATGCTGCTAGGAATTCCCTTGCGTGCAGATGTAACCCTGGGTGAACACGGGCTACATCTGCCCCTCTGTGTCGAGATACAGAGGATAGGAGTTTGTTGCAGTCCCGAACTCCAGAGCTTTGGCTGTTTAGCGCAAGCTGTAGCAGCTCATGTTTTTAGCTTTGGACATCTCCTGTCCAGTTCCCCGTGTGTCAGCCAAGAGGGCAGCTGTCACACAGACAGAGCACACCCCTGGATACCGCCCAGCGGGGGGACTCTGCTGTGCAGCTGGCCAACTCTGGCAGCTAGTGTCCCAGCCGGTGCTAGCAGGGACCAGTTCCTGCACTCAGGGTTGCTCTGGGACTAAAATTGCGGCTAACCCCTGCAATGGGGGCACAAGAAACAACGGTTCCTTACCCCTCCTCCTCCTCCCCTCCTTGTGCTCTTGCACAGGGATCAATTACAATCTGGCCCTCAGTAGGCTGGCAGGGGCGGGAGGGACTAGGCCTAGTAAATAAACCTCCCTCTCCCACATGTCAGTGCATATCAACACCCCTAGACCACCAGAGTCAAACTTTTTTCTCTCTTTCCTTTGATTATCCCTACAAAAGGTTCCCCCACCCCCCCGGCTCTCCTGCTGGTAATAGCTAACCTACCTGATCACTCTCCTTATAGTGTGTATGGTAACACCCATTGTTTCATGTTCTCGGTGTATATAAATCTCCCCACTGTATTTTCCACTGCATGCATCCGATGAAGTGAGCTGTAGCTCGCGAAAGCTTATGCTCAAATAAATTTGTTAGTCTCTAAGGTGCCACAAGTCCTCCTTTTCTTCATGTGAAGGTTAGTGTCCTGTGGCAGGATTTGGCTCCTAATATTTACATAACCATACATGAATAATAAAGCATTTTTCTGTTCTTACTGTTATGACACACACTATACCACACACAAATGTTTATAAAATGGCTCCTCTAAAAGGTCCAACACCCATTCCTTTCCTCCATGTACATATGAAAACATTTTTCTTTGGGAACAGGAGCAGTTCTTTATATACACATCTATGAAAGGAAATAATTACACCACCCAGGTTTGTATAAGAATATTTTATTTAGAAGAGCAGTTGAAAAATAAAAAAATTCTATACATCAAAGTTTCCTTTTTTTGTGTCCATGAAGATAGCAACAGTTCTTAGAAAATACGTTCTTGACGTGGTCTCGGCAGCTTTCTACCATCTTTCCTCTGGGCTGAAGGATCCCATGATACTTAGCTGCATCAGTCCACTCCGTGAACAAACACAACAGACCTTTAAGGTCTCAACAATTCTGTTCTGGTACAGAAGGGAAATTCAGATCAAATATATTAAATGTCAACTAAACATAATACAATTCAGAAGATTATATAGATAAATACACTGTTAGGTCATAATCTCTGGAATATTGCTAGGTAAACCGAGAAGTCTGCTGCTTGTTAGGAGCTAGGGTTCATGATGTGACGGAGAGACTGTCGAGACTCATCAAGCCCTCGGATCGCTACCCCTTCCTGCTTCTCCACGTGGGCACCAATGATACTGCCAAGAATGACCTTGAGCGGATCACTGCGGACTACGTGGCTCTGGGAAGAAGGATAAAGGAGTTTGAGGCGCAAGTGGTCTTCTCGTCCATCCTCCCCGTGGAAAGAAAAGGCCGGGGTAAGGACCGTCGAATCGTGGAAGTCAACGAATGGCTACACAGGTGGTGTCGGAGAGAAGGCTTTGGATTCTTTGACCATGGGATGATGTTCCAAGAAGGAGGAGTGCTAGGCAGAGATGGGCTCCACCTAACGAAGAGAGGGAAGAGCATCTTCGCAAGCAGGCTGGCTAACCTAGTGAGGAGGGTTTAAACTAGGTTCACCAGGAGAAGGAGACCAAAGCCCTCAGGTAAGTGGGGACGTGGGATACCAGGAGGAAGCAGAAGCGCACGAGAGGGCAGGGCTCCTGCCTCGTACTGAGAAAGAGGGACGATCAGCGAGTTATCTCAAGTGCCTATACACAAATGCAAGAAGCCTGGGAAACAAGCAGGGAGAACTGGAAGTCCTGGCACAGTCAAGGAATTATGATGTGATTGGAATAGAGACTTGGTGGGATAACTCACATGACTGGAGTACTGTCATGGATGGATATAAACTGTTCAGGAAGGACAGGCAGGGCAGAAAAAAAAAAAGGGAAGAAAGAGGATCCTGGGAACTACAGGCCTGTCAGTCTCACCTCAGTCCCTGGAAAGATCATGGAGCAGGTCCTCAAGGAATCAATTCTGAACCACTTAGAGGACAGGAAAGTGATCAGGAACAGTCAGCATGGATTCACCAAGGGCAAGTCATGCCTGACTAATCTAATTGCCTTCTATGACGAGATAACTGGCTCTGTGGATGAGGGGAAAGAGGTGGACGTGTTGTTCCTTGACTTTAGCAAAGCTTTTGACATGGTCTCCCACAGTATTCTTGCCAGCAAGTTAAAGAAGTATGGGCTGGATGAATGGACTATAAGGTGGATAGAAAGTTGGCTAGATTGTCGGGCTCAACGGGTAGTGATCAATGGCTCCATGTCTAGTTGGCAGCCAGTATCAAGTGGAGTGCCCCAAGGGTCGGTCCTCGAGCCGGTTTTGTTCAATATCTTCATAAATGATCTGGAAGATGGTGTGGATTGCACCCTCAGCAAGTTTGCAGATGACACTAAACTGGGAGGAGAGGTAGATACGCTGGAGGGTAGGGATAGGATACAGAGGGACCTAGACAAATTAGAGGATTGGGCCAAAAGAAATCTGATGAGGTTCAACAAGGACAAGTGCAGAGTCCTGCACTTAGGGTGGAAGAACCCCATGCACTGCTACAGACTAGGGACCGAATGGCTCGGCAGCAGAAAAGGACCTAGGGGTTACAGTGGACGAGAAGCTGCATATGAGTCAGCAGTGTGCCCTTGTTGCCAAGAAGGCCAATGGCATTTTGGGATGTATACGAAGGGGCATTGCCAGCAGATCGAAGGACGTGATCGTTCCCCTCTATTCGACATTGGTGAGGCCTCATCTGGAGTACTGTGTCCAGTTTTGGGCCCCACACTACAAGAAGGATGTGGAAAAATTGGAAAATGTCCAGCGGAGGGCAACAAAAATGATTAGGGGACTGGAACACATGAGTTATGAGGAGAGGCTGAGGGAACTGGGATTGTTTAGTCTGCAGAAGAGAAGAATGAGCGGGGATTTAATAGCTGCTTTCAATTACCTGAAAGGGGGTTCCAAAGAGGATGGATCTAGACTGTTCTCAGTGGTAGCTGATGACAGAACAAGGAGTTAATGGTGTCAAGTTGCAGTGGGGGAGGTTTAAGTTGGATATTAGGAAAACCTTTTTCACTAGGAGGGTAGTGAAGCACTGGAATGGGTTACCTAGAGAGGTGGTGGAATCTCCTTCCTTAGAGGTTTTTAAGGTCAGGCTTGACAAAGGCCTGGCTGGGATGATTTAGTTGGGGATCGATCCTGCTTTGAGCAGGGGGTTGGACTATATGACCTCCTGAGGTCCCTTCCAACCCTGATATTCTATGATTCTAAACAAAGCATGTGCAGCATGCTACACCCACTGACTCATAAATATTAGGATACAAAGATTAGTTAGATAATGCTGTAATTGTCATATGGCTGCCTACAGGTATTTAGTGCATGAATCAGAAAGACTTTTTTTTTGTTGTTGTTGACTTCTGTGAATCATTTTCCAGAAAAGGGTGGTTGCTAAAACTTCATCTTATGTGGATGGACTCCTGGCCAAATTCTCTAGGGGCACAAGAAGGGACAGGTTCACTGAAGTCAGTTGAGCTGCACCATCTTCTGTCCATGTGTGTCTACTTTTAAAATATTTTAAAAACAAACTCACTCACCTTGTGACTTTTGTGTAGCTAAGAGTGTTTTTCTTTTCACTTCTGTGTGCTCTCAGTTGTCAAACTTGCACTTTTCTTCTTTTGCAACTAGAATAAAGAGCAAAACAGAACAAATATCACCACTGGCACATCCCAGACAGACTGCTACAGCTAGCTGATCACTAATCCTCAATAAGATATCAGCTGAATCTCTAATGCAATAGTATACACCAATTTGGTGCATCACGGGCCCCATTGAATCCAAAATAACTATGGTACTTGACTGGAGAAAGTGCACCTCAGTATTTCTCATTATCTGTTGACTTAATTTCTGAGATTGTTCGCTACCTGCTATTTGTTTGATGGCATTTCTGAGTTTACACAGTTCTCATTATACCAGCACTCCTTGTGCCGATATACTGTAATTAAGGCTCTATCAGTTTCCATAGAAACTCTGTTTTTGACAGCTTTACATTTCAGGTATAGAAATTCACTTCAGCTTGAAACTTCTCAAAGCTTCTCAAAGCCCCCATTATCACCTTGAACTTATTTTTAGTTTTTTTAAGGAATGTTTCATGTTTCTGTTGTAGACTTGAGAATTTCCACAAGATTTTATTTGCCCTTATATAACTCTCCCCACAAGACCTGTGTTCTGTTCCTCTCCACTCTTAATCAGAATTAGAATCTGAGCTCCTTGGAGAAGGAACTGTCCTTCCTAAAAAAAAGAAAAGGAGGACTTGTTGCACCTTAGAGACTAACCAATTTATTAAGAGCATAAGCTTTCGTGAGCTACAGCTCACTTCATCAGATGCATGCAGTAGAAAATACAGTGGGGAGATTTTATATACACAGAGAAAATGAAACAATGGGTGTTACCATACACACTGTAACAAAAGTGATCAGGTAAGGTGAGCCATTACCAGCAGGAGAGCGGGTGTGTGTGTGTGTGTGTGAACCTTTGGTAGTGATAATCAAGGTGGGCCATTTCCAGCAGTTAACAAGAACGTCTGAGGAACAGTGGGAGGGGGAGGGGGGGAACGCGCAGGGCGGGGGAGGGAAATAAACATGGGGAAATAGTTTTACTTTGTGTAATGACCCATGCACTCCCATGCATCATCAAGGATCTACAACCTATCCTGAAGGATGTCCCATCACTCTCACAGATCTTGGGAGACAGGCCAGTCCTTGCTTACACACAGCCCCCCAACCTGAAGCAAATACTCACCAGCAACCACACACCACACAACAGAACCACTAACCCAGGAATCTATCCTTGCAACAAAGCCCGTTGCCAACTCTGTCCACATATCTATTCAGGGGACACCATCATAGGGCCTAATCACATCAGCCACACTATCAGAGGCTCGTTCACCTGCACATCTACCAATGTGGTATATGCCATCATGTGCAAGCAATGCCCCTCTGCCATGTACATTGGCCAAACTGGACAGTCTCTACGTAAAAGAATAAATGGACACAAATCAGACGTCAAGAATTATAACATTCAAAAACCAGTTGGAGAACATTTCAATCTCTTTGGTCACTCGATTACAGACCTAAAAGTGGCAATTCTTCAACAAAAAAATTTCAGAAACAGACTCCAATGAGAGACTGCTGAATTGGAATTAATTTGCAAACTGGATACAATTAACTTAGGCTTGAATAAAGACTGGGAGTGGATGGGTCATTAGACAAAGTAAAACTATTTCCCCATGTTTATTTCCCCCCTCCCCCTCACGCTGTTCCTCAGATGTTCTTGTTAACTGCTGGAAATGGCCCACCTTGATTATCACTACAAAAGGTTCCCCCCCCCACCGGCTCTCCTGCTGATAATAGCTCACCTTACCTGTTTCAGAGTAGCAGCCGTGTTAGTCTGTATTCACAAAGAGAAAAGGAGGACTTGTAGCACCTTAGAGACTAACCAATTTATTTGAGCATAAGCTTTCGTGAGCTACAGCTCACTTCATCTTACTTGATCACTCTTGTTACAGTGTGTATGGTAACACCCATTGTTTCATGTTCTCTGTGTATATAAATCTCCCCACTGTATTTTCCACGGTATGCATCCGATGAAGTGAGCTGTAGCTCACGAAAGCTTACGCTCAAATAAATTTGTTAAGTCTCTAAGGTGCCACAAGTCCTCCTATTTCCATACTTTGTAATGCCAGCTTTGTGCCCCTCGATCAGTGCTTTTATCAGAGCATCCACCTAGATGAGCTTATTCACAATCCTAATTCATTTTCGGATTTTTCTGTTTTCTCTCCTGTGCCCATAAACTCTGCTTTTATGTAATGTAACTGGATTTGGATGTAGTGAATTTGGGGTTACCTGCTGTTGGGCATCATGACAAGAGGAAAAGAAACCTAAACTCTGACCTCAGAGGGAGAGGACTCAGGAGCAGAGGTCACAGTCTGAGCACTAAGGGCATCATTCTGTATCACTGAAGTCAATGGTGGCTCTGTCATTGACTTCAATGGGAGCAGGACCAAGCAGGACCAAGCATGACAGCACTGTGATTCCCCTGCTTGCCCAGTGCTGAAGAGGATTTGGCCCAGGTCAGAGAGAGCCGAAAGACCTGGCACCTGGTTACAGATATCATCAAAGCTCTCCGAGGTCTTACATGCCAACGGGAGAGACATCTGGTAAATACCATTGATAGATAGTTTAACCTGGGCCATAAAATGAATTAATGTGGTCGTTTGTTTAATTGTATTGTATGGTATGTGTGTTTGTGCAGGTGTGTGTGTAGTATAAGAGAGAGAAAGAGCAATTCCTGGTATAATGCCAGTGACATCTGGTGATATCTCGGCAGGCTCTTTTGAATGACTCATTCTGTGCACCCAGAATTTTTTTGCCATTTTCTTTTCTGTGGTAAGGTATCATGGCTGCTTCTCTTGCTCTTCCTGTTTATAATTATTATTAATGATCTTGTGGCATAGGTATGCCTGGTGCTTTACAAATATATAGGAAGAAAAAGTGACCATAGATATAATCAAAAGCAATAAATATCATCAAACTGAAGAACTTGAACTGTCTGTTTCGCTTCTTAGTACCACCCAGAGTGTATGTACAGAGCTGAGAGAATAATCAATTTTTCAGTTCAAATCCACAAAATCAGTTTGTTTGGAATTGAAACAGATTTTTTTGTTTGTTTTTTCTTGATGAAACAAAAAGACTGAAAAAAATCACTTTGGCTTGAGCAAAATATGTAATTTGAGTGAAACAACTGTTTTCATTTTGTTACGTTTTCAGGTGTTTTTACCCTTTTAAATAAAAATTTGAACAAATGGAGCTAGATTTCAAAAAGAAATGTTGTTTTGACATGAAAAGTCAAAACATTTTGCCTTTAAAAAGCCAAAATAAACCATTTAGACTTTTTCAACTTAAAAAAAAAATGTATTCGGCGAAAACTATTTGCTAAATTCAACCCATATTCACAAACAGTTTTGGTCACTTCTCACTGAATTTTTGAGCAAATTTAAGATTTGACTGAAATATGTCACCCAGTTCTAGGTATGTATAGCTTGCCTCTTTCATAGTATCATCTAGTTGTTTTAATTCCTCGTAGCGGTCCCTGGATTCCCAAAGAGGTTGGAGCATCACTTCGTCAACTTCTGGAAAAAGCTAAACAAAAGTGAGAAGAGTCAAACTATCATTTCTTTAAATATTTATTTACCTGTAAATGATAAAAATGGAGTAAGAGGAGGTGTCACTGGCTGACTAAATGTTTAGCAAAACCAAAGCTGAAATGTTCTCAGTTCCTGCAGGCATCTTAGAACCTTAATAACGTACCTTTGTTACTGTTTCAAACATTGGGATCAGGACAAACTTAAGGAACCCGATCTGTGCTGTTGGTTTGGTCACTTTATCTCGGTCCATGAAAGGTGCCACTGGAAGTCCCTCAGACTTTTCTCGGTCACTCTAGGACAGATTCAATAGTTAACAAAGATTATTATCAACAGGGAGACTGTGAGGGCAGCAAAACACAAACTGTTTGCAGACCAGTAACTAGATCACTGATATCCTATACACATGCCTCAATGGTGTATGTGACAACAGCAAATGAAAGGGAAACTGTGTGTCATACATTTTAGAAGCTGACTCTTATTGTTTTAATAACCTTTGTATTGTTGTTTCTTTTGGTTTTTCACAAATGCTGCATGTACAGAAACGTATCCTATTATAACAAGGCCATAAGGGTATGTATGCAGTCAGGAGCGAGCCTCACAGCCCATGTAGACTGATTAACTCTAGTGGGACTCGAGCTAGAGTGCTAAAAATAGCTGTGTGGCTGTTTTGGCATTGGAGGAGGCTAGCCACCTCACCTCGAACCCAGGAGGCAGGGTGGGCTTGAGCTCAGGTGGCTAGCTCAAGCCCCTGCTAGTGCAATGTCCACACAGCTATATTTAGTGTAAGCCCACTAGCACAAGTCTGCCTGCCTGGCTTAAGAGGCTTGTGTAACACCAACAGACCCCGGTCGTTGTCGGCCAGGATCAAACCTGGGACCTCTGGAGCTTAATGCATGAGCCTCTACTGCATGAGCTAAAAGACATGCCTCTTAGCCCAGGCTATAGCAGACTCATCAATCTCTAGCTGCCACTAGAGGGGGACAGAGTGCCACACCAAGTAGGCATGGGTTGCACTTGCTCCCTGCTACAGTATAGACATACCGTAAGAGGGAGATACTCAGAGGCATACAAATCCCAAAATCCATGGGACTTCTTGTGGAGTAAAGCACTACTCAGTGTGAGACAAGGTAACAGAATCTAGCCCTTAGCCATTCTACATAAGAGGGAAAGGGACCTTGACTTCCTTCTCCTCTGGAGAATTATTCTTTTGGGTATTAGGCTACAACTAGCCAACCATGATCAAAAATGGTTGAGTGTTTCTAGTCTATCAAGTGGCTCCTAGTACATATAGATTCAGGGAGGGATGTATCTCTGTGTGCCAAACTTTGGAAAGATCTTTACAAATAATGGGCTGGATCCTTAGCTAGTATAAATCAGCGTAGCTCCATTGACTTAAATGGGTCTATGGTGATTGGACTGTCCTATAAGCGCATAGTTAGTAAGAAGGGCACAGAATACGCCAAAAATTGACACCCCTTTAACTTCATTGCCAGAATTTACTCTCATCTGTCAGACTTGCTTTAATAATGTGTGTACAGTAGTACTTTGGGTCAGATATTAGGGTGAGGAAGACAATAAAGTGCAGAGACAGATCATTTTATTTTGCATAAAAATATTGCAGAGACAATGAGCTAATTGTCATTAAGATTCCCTATTGTCAAGCCTTCCCCTTTGGATACGTCTAATGTCATTTCTTTGTCAAATTGATTCCTTCAGCACAGGGAAAATGTTAAAAAAAATAGAAAGAAGAAAACTCTGGCATCTTGTTCCTCCAATCACGATAAAGCTTTGCATGCTCCCAGCTACTTCACAGACAGCTTGGCTTGGGTAGGAGAGAGCAGAGGATTACTGTTAGTTTTAATGTTGCTTTATACTACAAGAAGCCACACTAGAGAGGGATGGGAATCCAGAAAGAAGCAACTGTTTTGGGAGCATAAGCTGACTTTTCAGGACTAATGAAGTTGATGGTGTCCTTTGGAAATAATCAGAATGTTTTCATTTTTAAAGCAAATGTTCATCCTATGCAGCCTTGGGCATTTCAAATCATCACGGATATAATTTAAACTTGGACCATTTAATACTGCACATTTAATTGACTTTTTCTATACTCACGCTTCTTGCCCTTTTGGCTTGACAAGGGTTTACATGCCAAAAAACTCACAAGACAGCCCTATTAGTGAGAACAAGCTGCAGTCCAATGACATTAGCATTTCTACATTATTGTCATTAATCTTACAAATTGCAGTCAATCACAGTAACTTTTATTCTGAACATATCTGATGAAGTGAGCTGTAGCTCACGAAAGCTCATGCTCAAATAAATTGGTTAGTCTCTAAGGTGCTACAAGTACTCCTTTTCTTTATACTGTCTTATGCCACACTTCTGTCACCTTATGCAAAAGAAACCTCCTCATCCTTGTGGCACTGGATTGTCATACAGTAGTACCAGTCAGCTGTCAGCTATAGTTAAAATAGGAATTACTATTATGATGATGATGATTGTGTATCTGTGTCTCTGTCTCTCATTCTTACCTGCATAAAATACTCCTCTAATAAGCAGTCTACCCACGGTTCCGCTACTTCCATCGGGCGGACTTCATTTGAGATATCACAACATTTTATCAGAACCATCTTCAACTGAAGAAGGAAAAATACTTTAACACTCTGGTAATATAGAAGCCTGCCTCTTTGCCTTTACAGAAGCCATAGAAGCTATGAGTCCTTCATTTTTAGAGAGGCAGAGGGAAATGATCTCAGACAAGAAGGATAGTCTTATGGCTAAGGCACAAGACTGATCTGGTTTCTCTTCCTTCTACCTAGAGAGATTTGATTCCTGGTTCTGCCTGCCACATATTTCCTGTATGATCTTTGGCAAGTCACTTAACCCCTCTGTGTCTCAGTTTTCCTTTCTGTGAAAGGGGGATAATGGTTACCTACTCCATGGGAGGCTTAATCCATGAATGACTGTAAAGGGCTTTGACATTCCTGGAGGGAAGACACTATAGGGGCCTGATCCCACCCTCATTAATGTCAGTGGAAAGATTCCCACTGAGTTCAATGGGAATTAGATTAGGGCTAGAGCAAAGTATTGTTATGATGGATGTAATGGAGACTAGAATGAAACTAAGAATTTATATCCAGACAGATACAGTAATTATTTCTTGCTCAGATGACTCTAAGATTTCAAAATCTGAAAGAGAAATCTAGACTTTCTTTGTATCAAGTGACCCCAGACTTCTCATTGTTTTTTGGGGAAAAAGCTTTTATAAAAATCTACAGAAATACTTTGACGTTTCTTTTAACGTTACAGTGCAAACGGTTGTTTTTAGGCACACATTTCCCTGCACTTGGTACCCACTCACAGTGACACCCCAAAAGGGTAGGAAGGATGGTTCCATAGTTAGGTAGCTAGGCTGGGATTAGGGAGAGCTCGGCCAATACCTTGCTCTGCCAAGGATTTCCTGTGAGACCTGGGGCAAGTCACTTAGTCTCTCTGGGTCTCACTTCTCCAGCTGTAAAAGTAGTACTTCTCTACCTCAGAGGGGTGTTGGAGGCACTTATATGCTACACTGAGGGGAGCTATCCAAGTATTCAATTCAGATTGATCCAACCCAAAACAAACTATTTCATTTGGATTTTTTTCTTGTCAAAATCTTTTCCCCACACAGAAAATTTCAAGTTTGCAGAAACTGCATTTTCTGTTGAAAAAACCCATTTTGACAGAAAAATTCTGACTACTTCTACTCAACATCTTGCATGATTAGGCCAAAACCAAAGTTTAGAATGTAGCAGTATCACTGCGAACCATGGTAGGCACTGAAAAATGATAAACATGTAATCTCCTTACACAGGTGACATGTTCCTCATTTGAGTAATCAAAATTATCCATTTTTTCTTTGAAAGAGTCCAGTATTTCTGCATGTCTTGCCATGTCTGTTGCCAGGATTAATGTAATTATCCCCTATCAAAACAAATAATAATAATACATTGATTTAACGTCTCACAAGGCATAGCTATTGCTGTGTAAAGAAATGTGCTTAAATTAACACAAATACCTTATGATAGAACACAGACAAGAAGAACAGATGTATCACATCAGCACCATTGAAAGAGGAACTTTCATACTTGAGGCCACTTGACAAAGTAGACCATTAATTTAAAGAATTCACAGTGACATAAGAGAATGACTAACTATGTAATTGGTTTTGTATAATTATATGCTGGAGAAACTACTGCTTCTTGTTCTGAGCTTTGTTTGATTTTTAGTATGAATGCAAAGTGCACAAAGAAATAAACTAAAAGCTCAATTCTACATGCTGAGGCCCAAGCTTGGTCCCACAGAAGTCAATGGCAGTTTTGCATTTCTGCATTTTCATTTAAAATGGATGGGAGAGTTGCATCCATGAATCTGAGGGCAGAATTTGGCCCATAATACTATGCGAATTACATCTTAGTTTGTGGTCACGGAAAATATTGTGAATTTATTCTTATGACTTCACTGCCTCACGCAACAGAAAAAGAGATGGGCTCCACAGGTTGAAGCTTTTGTGCAAACACAAATATTTTTAATACTGATGAAAAATGGGGAAAAAAAAGATGATAAAATGTGTAGGAGGTGAATATTTGTTTATGTCTTTACAAATTGTCTCCAGTTTGAACTCCCTGTTTAAGTTCAGCATAATGTTCTCCTAATGGTTAAGTTGTTACCATATGAGCAAGTTGGCCTAGTTACAGTCACATCCTAACAACTCTTTTCATAATGTAAGTTTCTACACAGAAGAGGATAAGTTTAAGAGTCAAACTTTGCTCATTGGTACCCCAAGGAAGGTCAGCTCAACTGTCCAACGAGAGTTGCTAGAGAAATAGCCCAGGAATCTCTCTGTGTTACTTCAAGTTTGAGATTATTCAGTTCCAACCTCTTGATGGAATTATTCTGTTGGACTGTTCAGAAGGTAGATTTGTGCACACTGAAACTTCAAGAGCGGTTTGCATGTCATACCTCCCTTCTGGATCAACATTCATACCTGTCTTATCCGTTTGAATTGTTCCTGGGTAGCATTGGAGAAAATGTTGCATTCTGGCTGGGCAATGATCTGGAAAGCCACAGCACAGTGATGGTTCTCCAGTGGGGACATGTCATTGTAGCGCACGGCAAGCTCTGTTCGGGCATTAATCTGGTAGCTGATGTGAAGGAAAATAGTGAGGTCTCACACGTTGCCTACACCCGATACTTAAAAACATACATTACACATTAGACATTGGTTATTTTTATGTATATTGTTGTGAATACCTAATTAATTAATAATAAATTATTGCAACAGTTAATATTAAATCCAAATATTTTTTTGAGAAAATGATCATACTTCCACATCGTTTCAAAGACTCTCTTTATTTACTTGTTATTACTGAATTTCTATAACTTAAAAACATATGGGGGAAGGATAGAGGGGACTCTTCTTCTTTTTAGCTCACAGGCTTGACTCCCACTAACTCCCAGTAAAGTCAGTGGAAAGATGCTCATGGAGCTCAATGCAAATTGGATCAGGCCCTTATTTAATAGCTGAATACAAGTAAATTAGAGTTTATATGTAGTTCACAGAAGTAATAATGCTTAGCACTTCTAGCACTTTCCATCTGAGGCTCACACCATGCTTTACAGACATTTATGAAGTAACCTTCAGATCATCCCTGCCATCTAGCTCCATTGTATAGATGGGCAAATGGAGATAGACAGTGGTTAAGTGCTTTGTTTAAGGTCTTTGGCAGAGCTGGGAAAAGAACCAGAAACTCTTCCCGTGTAATTGAGCCTCAACCATATGACCATTCTTCTACTACATAGCATAATTAACAAAAGAATTTGACCTGAGATGTTTTCTAGCTGCCAATTTCCTCTAATGGAAAATACTAAGTTTTATGAGAAAATTGAAGAGGGAGCCATTTTCCTTTCAGAGTTTAGCACAGTTAGCAGCCTCAGCTCAGGACTGAGTAAGCTAATGGCTAGCGTTGCATATAACCTAACCAGTGGTGGCTCTGTCCTTGTCAGTGTTTGACCATAATAGCAGAGCATTGTGGGTAGATTCCTACTTAGCTGCCCTACTCTCTGCTCTGGACATGAGAAGAAAATGCTGATCTGCATTGTTTTCCAGATATATTTGAAAGGAACAAAAAATAAAGGGCACACATACGTGTTGTTATATCCTGGATGATCCAAATCATGGCAAACTGCAGCAGTCATCAGAATTAAGATATCAATTTGGGGAAATTTCTCCTGCAAAAGAAAAACATAATAATGTAGTGTCTAACAATTTCTATACTTTTTCCCCCCAATACATTCACATTTCAGAAAAACAAGTCACCCGGGTAAAATTAACCATAATTCATTAATTAAATTTACTGCAGATAAGAAAGAAGATTTCACTGTTCACTGCAGCAACAAATGACTCAGATTCGGCTTTGATGCATTAAATAGAAGCAGTTTGGAGGAGGCCAGTAGAATTTTGTCTGAGAGTTATTCATATTCATATTATGTTTTAAAGCACAGAGTTGTTAATACTCAGGCCTTTAGAAATCATTCCAGTGTCTACACTAGCTGAGGGACGGTTGGAAGACAATTTACATACTATTATCTTTCACACTAACTAGAGATGGGAAGAGAGTGAGGAAAATTTTTCACAAACATTTCAGCAACTTCCAAACAGGATGAATATTCGTGGAAGCGGTTTTGCTCATATGTATATCCACAAGAACACAAATTCTTGTCAGTATCTGGGATTCATTTTACCATGGAACAAAATGTGGTTTGTGATGAAATTAAATTTGTTTTGTGTGGAAGTGAAAGCAGTTTAGAAATGTTAGGTCATCCAGTGAGGGAAAAATACACCTGGCAAAGGTGACCATACAGAATAAATATGAATCGTGAACATAGAACATGCAAAGCAATATTTTCAGTGAGCGGTTCGTGAACAACCCGTAGGCTGAATCTAGTTTGCAGAAAACATTTGCTGAAATATTTTATATAGTGAATGAAGTCCCAATTCATAGACCATGAAAGTCACTTCACTGGGATTTTGACCGGCCCCAAATTCATACAAACGTCAGACTACCTGCATCCAGAGAAAGGGTTAAATTAATACATTGTGAATGGTTCTTCCAGCTTTAATAAGCGCTCTTTCTTTGAGCTGCAGCCTGATTTGGGGGTCTTCTGGGGAAGTAGTGACAAGGAAGAGACAACTTTAGCTTGAATGATGGTTCTTTCTACTTTTTGGTCAATTTAAAGAGGGACACCTAAATTTGAGATTAAAATCAAAGAGGCCAGTCCTTGGGCTGTTGAAGGTCAGATATACTTCAGTCACAACTACTGTCTGGAAATCTGGATTTTTACTACGTCTCTGGATCACTGATATCTTTGACAGGATGATAGAAGGAGATGTTTTCTAGTCTTCCTATTTGTAGGATTCTATTGTATTATAACTAAAGCTTAATTCATTCCACAGGGCATGCCAGTCAGCCAGCTGTCTTGTGGATTTTCAGAGGTGTTGAGTACTCACAAATCCCAAAGAAGTTAGTGAGAGCTATAGGGGTGCAGCATCTTGGACTACCCCTTGTCTCCATGGGATTACTCTGTCATTTTCCTAATGTTAAGCTTTTGCTTAAGTGCTTTGCTGATTCAGGCCTAGATGACTAAATGAAAGAGTCTCTGAAATGACTGAGCATTTTATTCCGTGATTTAAATAATTACTTTTCATATAATCCAGGGCAATAAGTTCTCATTATAATTAGACATAGATGAACCAATTGGGGTAAAATAAGAACCCACTGGAAACATTTTTTATTTCAGAACAAAACACAACCTCCTTTTCATGGCTGGATCTGTTCGATGAGTCTCTTCACTATGTCCCGTGACCAGCCCAACCACTTATCTACAGTGGCAGATCCTCTTTTGAGGAAGACTGTAAAACTCCTTCCTTCCTTGGGTGGCAGTTTAGCCTCTGTACTAGCCATTGCTGCTGCAGCTCTTGTCAACCTTCCAGAGAGTCTAGAGTTCCCCTGATACATGCTCCCCAGAATGCCCTACTGGAACACAGGCAGGCACATGGTTTAATTGGCTCAGGGGCTTCAGAAGGTGATGGTGTAGTCTGGGACCCAAGTACTGGGGAAGAGCCAGAATGGGTGGAGTGTGAAGGAGCACTCAGCGGAGACACTACTGGGTCCTGTTCCCAGCTGCTGCTTCTGGAGAAAGGGAGAGAGAGGGGACGGCTGCTGCATGGCTTTCCACTGAAGAGAGTACCACACCGGAGGAGTGGAGAAGTCCTCTTCCCCTGAAGCATAGCAAAGAGGAAGGAGCATTGATCAGCAAAGATAGAAGAGCTGGGGCTTTTTGAGGGAGTTGTTTCATAGGGAGGGAGCCAGCAGCGAACTACCCAAGTTTGAGTTTCCAGAACTTTAAGTCATTTCTGGTAAAGCTCTTGTGCTTATGGATACTTATCTAAACTTTTGAGACCCATCCTACCTATCTTAGGTACTTACATAGCCCCATTACTGTCATATTTGATCATCTCACAATCTTAATGTATTTATCTTCACAAACACCCCTTTGAGGTAGGGCAGTGCTATTATCTCCATCTTACAGGTGGAGAACTGAGGCATAGAGAGGGTAAGTGACTTGCTCAAGGTCAGACAGGAAATCTGTGGCAGAACATGAACTTGAACCCAGGTCTCCCAAGCCCTAGGCTAGTTGCCCAACCTTGAACAGCCTTTTTTTCCACTATAACTAATTATAGTTAGGTTTCCTAAAGTTTTCTTGTTTGCTTTCAATAAATTAATGAGTCATGTACAAACAAAATGATGGTCCTTTTTGGAAGGAAAATGTCCTGGGTTTTATGACTCTTAGTGGATGAATATTTGTCTGGTGATAGAAGCAGAAATACAGATAGGTATGTGGACAAACCAGAGACACACCTGGAGATTGCAGAGTGAGATCATACTGTACATCATCTGAGTCACACAGAAGCAGTGCCGGAAATTATGGAATGGGTTGTTTCTGTAATTGTCATGAATACACAGCTACAAAAAGAAGGAGTAAAACAGTTAATGACTGTAGAGATGTTTCAGAATGGAAAGATCTGAGTCCATGCACTTCCCGCTCTCCCTCGAGGCACTGCATGTTGCCATGTGAGACATATGGATCCCAAATCATTCTCCACTTTTGCCCCTTCAAAAATCACAACATGCAGCCCTGCAACACCACCCTCCTCTTTCTGGCTGAGTAGAACTAGATATGGCTCCCTATGAAGATTTTATTAACAGAATCTGTGAACCATCCAATGGAGTCACTGAAAAGTACCAGGTGGCATTCCTTCCCCAGCTACACGAGGGATAGCAATATGAGGCCAGGGATTGTCAGTAGTCCCTCTCTTTGTTATCTGCCTCACCCAGTAGTATAGGCAGGCAATAGCAAGATTTCCCAGTCCTGATGCACAACATGTGCTCTGGTCTTGCATATCTCCTCAGCAGACACCACCAAGTCTGCCAAACTGTGCTGGGGACAAAGGCCCACTTAGGAATATACAGAGGCCACAAAACTCATTTCTGACATAATTTGAATGTCAACTCTTGAGGTCTTCAAAGGCAAGAATGTAATAGTTATTTAATTTACAAATATACACTGAAGACATCTTATCAGATCGCTAATCTTCCCCAGCACTACTGAGCTCCACACACTTAGGGCTTGATTTTGCAAGGTGCTCAGCACTCTGGCCTCCAGCACGTGCTTAACTTTAAGCATGGGACTAGCCCCATTGCCATATGTGGGATTACATACATTCTTAAAGTTAAACTGAGCATAAGTGCATTGCCGGATCAGGACCAGAGTCCTCCGCGCCCTGCAGGATCAAGCCGCTTGTTCTTGGGCTTGATGTTCTAAGCATCCCAAACCTCCAGCTGGAGTCAATGGGAGCTGGGAAAGCTCAGCACTTCTGAAAAACCAGGCCTGTATTGTTTGGCTTCTATTTCAGTAGAGAAGGACTTTTGAAAGTAACTTTAAAAATTCTATGTTGATGATCTCCTCAAATGTTATAAACATCATCTCATACAACTTCTGTACTGAAATGTGGGTCATACACATTCATTGTGCAAGGTAATATGATTGTAATGCATGCATCCATCAGCGGAAGTCAGAACACTAAATGTGATTCCTGATTCAGAAGCTGTATCAGCCCTGCATGCTGAGCTATTAAAAATATTTGGTTGCATTAGTCATCCTGTTCCTCAGTTTCTCGGTGGTATTTTAAAGGCAGGTGAATGTGGGACTGAGAAAGGAAACGTTCAAGTAAAGTGAGGTAGCTCTTTCTCGTCCACCTGAGTTCAACCCTAAGCACACTATAGGCTTTGGGGAAATATCACCACCTGGAATTAGGGACTGTGGGTCTCTTTTTATCATCCCTTTTTGCAAAGCCGATATTTGCGAAGTAATTTTTGTAACACTCACATTTTTATAGAATAAATAAGGAGCCGCACACATGGTTCAGAATGAGATTGTATTAACTATTAATAGTAGCACATTGAATTACTCAGGGAAATTTGAACTGATGTGAAAGCATCTCTACACATATTGTAGGTGGCACAGATTCATAGTTTTTAATGTCAAAAGGGACCATCGTGATAATCCAGTCTGACCTCCTGTACCACACAGGCCATAGAATGTCACCCCATAATTCCTGAATTTTGCCCAATTTGTGGTTGAACAAGAGCATATCTTTTAAAAAGACAGCCAATCCTGACTTAAAGATTCCAAGTGATGGAGGATCTACCACATTCCTAGGAAAGTTGTTCCAACGGTTAAATACCCTCACTCTTAAAAATCTGCACCTTATTTCCAGTTTGAACTTCTAGCTTCACCTTTCAGCCGCAGGATCTTGTTATGTTTTTCTCTAATAGTTTAAAGACCCACCTACTACCAAAAATCTTCTCCCTGTTTAGATTTTTAGAGATAACACTCAAGTCACCTCTTGATTTTTTTTACCAGTGAGATAACTAAATTCATCTCCTTAAGTCTCTCACAGTGAAGCATGTTTTCCAGTCCTTGAATCATTTTTGTAGCAATGCCATTTTACTGACATTTGCTACTTTTGGCCAGAGAAAAAGCAATCAAATAGTTTTCATTGCATCCACCAGACAAAAATGATATAATCCTGCAGAGCAACATGCTAGGTGACATACACTTAAAAGACAGTACATTTTCTGCTGTGCATAGAAGTGCAGAGACATGCCATGTTTATGAAAAACAGTCTAACAACCTACACGCAGAAGTATTGAGAGTCACATCATGTCCAGTACTAGTAATTTCAGGCTAAACCAATGTATAATATACTGGACATAGGCGTGGGAAGTAGGAGTGCGGGGGCTGCTGCCAGCCCAGGGTCCTGGCCACCAGCCCCGCATGTGGGGTTCCGGCCGCCGGCCCTGCCCCCACCCCCGCCCCTAGCTGTGGCCCCAGCCTCTGCTGCCTTACCTCTGTCCGTGTCCCCACCTCTTGGAGCCATGGCCCTGCTCTCGGCCCCAGCTCTAGGGGGCGGTGAGGGGCGCAGACAGGGGAAAGAGGGGTGCAGCTCATCACCTCCACTCCAAAAACTGTTCAAGCACCACTGATACTGGATCAAACCCAACGTCCATCTAGTCCAAGCTCCTGTTTTTGACATGGCCAGTACCAGATGCTTCAGAGGAAAATGTAAGAACCCCACAGGGAAATGTGGGATAATCTGTCCCCCCACCACATTACGTCTACCTCATCTATAATAGTTAGAGATTGGGTTAAGCCCCGAAACATGAGATTTAATGTCTCTTCCAAAAAGAATTATTAGCATTTATCGTGATAACTCTGGGTATTCTTGATATCTATATAAGTGTCTAATCTTGTTAAATTCTTGGTCTCAACACCTTCCTGTGGCACTGAATTCCAGAGTCTAATTATGCATTGCATTTTCTATTTTGAATTTACCACCTTTTAATTTCACTGAATGTCTCTTTGTTCTTGTGTTTCAAGACAGGGAGAACTGACATTCCTGATCTCCATTCTCTATATTATTCATTATTTTATATACTTTTATCAAGATCCCTCTTATTCATCTCCTTTCTAAGCAAACCAATCCCAATTTTAATTCATGTGAGTTTTTCCATTACCCTAATCATTCTGGTGGCCCTTCTCTGAAACCTCTCTAATTCTGCAATATCCTTTTTGAGAGATAGTGACCAGTACGACACAAGGTATTCCAAATGAGGTCACATCATTGATTCACATAACGGCATCATACTATTTTCTGTGTTATTTTCCATCCCAATCCTTAGGAATTCTAATGTCTTGTTGGCTTTTTTGACCACAGCAGCACATTTTGCAGAGGTCTTCATTGAGCTGTCTGCAATAACACCCAGGACATTTTTCTAAGGTGACACATCTAATTTAGAACCTTTTAAGGTGTACTAGTTGCCTAATTTTTTGCCTCCAGTGTGTATTACTTTGAATTTATTGACACTGAATTTCATTTGCCAACTCATTTATTTAGGTCTCTCTGAAGTTCTTCAGTCTACCCAGTCCCGACTAATCTATATAACTTTGTCTCATCTGCAAATTTTGCCACCTCACTACTCGCTTCCCTTTTCAGATCATTAATATTAAACACTGTACGTAGTATCTAGCCTTAAAGCACCCTGTGTTAACCTGTTTTTTCCATGTTAACAATTGAGTTACTCTAGGAATAAATTTGGCCATAGTGAGTCCACAGAAAGCTCAGAATCAAGATTTAAGTAAACAAATACAGACCTATTCCAAAACATGTCATCTGTGACCCCGATCATGCAAACATTGGCACAGGTGCTTAACTTTAAACATGTGAGTAGTTTCACCGCCTTTAGTGGGATTACTCATATGAATAAAGTTAATGTCATGAGGAAGTGTTTGCAGGATTTGGAGCTGTATTTTAAAAATCACAAATACTGGGAATTTTAAAGAAATACTTACCAACCACCTCTTCAGCGTGATGGGGTTGATATTAAAGCCTTTAACCAATCCGAGATCATGGTACATATGTTCCAAACAACTCAGCATCTGTAATGATGAATAGACAGGATATTGTTTTAATCACTGTTGTTTATAAAGCACAAAGTACAATGTAATGTAAATCTTCACATTACAAGCACTGATGTCTAATGGAGCCCTATTGTTAATCATGAAACAAAGCTGTTCAAAGATTGCAAGATCAAAACCAGTTCACTAAGGACCTGATCCAAAGCCCACTGAAGACAAAATAAAAACTTCTGTTGACTTCAATATGTTTTGGATTGGGCCCTAATTCATCCCAGAGCGTCACAGTGATCATTGCTCATGAAAATCAACACTATATCACCTCTTGAAGAAGTAATTTGATTTTGCTAATGGAACCGGTTTATGGGCCTGATTCAAAGCCCAGTTGAAGTCAATGGTGGCCTTTTCATTGACTTCAATGGACATTGTATTAGGACTCAAGTGCATAGAAACACGACAGCAGAAGATAAGAGTGGCTGGAGGTAGAGTGCAGTCCAGATAACTGGGCACATCTAATTCATGTGTGACTTCCTGGAATTTTTAAAAAATCAAGTATCCTCAATAGACTAAACAGACAAAAAAAACCCCTCAGACTGTAAAATTACAGCAGGTTTGTGCATATTCCCTCCCATAACTGTGTATCTATGAATCTATGAATACCAAAACACAAAGGCAAAACATTGTTTAAGACAACAGCATATGACATTCATTCGTGTTTTCAGAACAGAACACAACTAGCTCAGCTATGCCATTCCAAGTCTAGATTTTGTTGTGTCTGGAAATATTATAGAAAATAACTTATTTATATGCTACTTAGGTCTTGGTTTAAGAGTGGCTGACCCAGTTTTTGCATCTCAATTATAGTAACATTGGAATAGTGTTATAAATATGCCCTAGGAGATATTTGAATTTTAAACCCCTATTTTTTGGGCACTCATAGCGTCCCAGAAAAATTTCTTCCCTTAGTGAAATTTCCTATGTTTGTCAGCTCATATTTAATTTAATATCATGTTTAGTAGAATTCCATTACGGCTGGCTTTGGGTCATTCAAATGTGAATTTAAAAGGTTTTCTCACAAAACTGCAAGAAAAATCTCAGAAGACTGATGGATACTCAGATAAGACCATCACAATTTTGCTTTACAGCATCATGCTTGGTTCCCTGGTACCCAAGGCCAGAACATATTGTTTGATACATTAAAAAACAAACAGACAAAACAAACCCTGTTACTGAAACAAAGATTTAGGCCTGGTCTACACTGAAAAGTTGTACTGGTATAATTTTGTCAGTTAGGGTTGTGATTTATTACCAAAACAGTTCTATCTGTACAGCTGCTCGTGTGCATGCAGTTATAATGGTACAAAATGCCAGTGCAGCTTATTTCCCTTCCCATACTGGTATAGCTATACCAGTATAAATCATCAATATGACTGCATCCATGCTAGGATTTTAGTTAACAAGGTAGAACATTTTATGTGAAGATGAGAGGATGTTGTGAAGGTCAAGACTATAACAGGGTTAAAAAAAGAACTAGATAAGTTAATGAAGGATAGGCCCACCAATGGCCATTAGCCAGGATAGTTTGCCAGAAGCTGGGAACGGGCGACAGGGGATGGATCACTTGACGATTACCTGTTCTGTTAATTCCCTCTGGGGCACCTGGCATTGGCCACGGTTGGAAGACAGGATACTGGGTTAGATGGACGTTTGGTCTGACCCAGTATGGCCGTTCTTATGTTCTTAAGAAATTGAAAGCAGGGCATCATTATGAGTGGAACTGGAGTCAGAGGGCCCATGTGCCCAGGAGGGCCTGTTTTAGATGAGACACCAGTAGAACAGACAATGCAGGGAGGTTGGTTGGAAGCTAATCAGCCACATGGACAGGGCAGGGCACAAGGTTTAATAAAGTTCCATTTATTCAACTTGACCTGCATTCCACTTCACTCTTTGCTAATGAAACAAGCAGCAGACTTCACATTTGCTGAGCTTCATTTTCCTTAATGATTGAACTGCATCTAGTGCAATTATCCAGCAGGCATATATTTGGATCTTGGCAAATTAAATGTCTTGGTTCAGTAAAGGATCTCCTTAATTTTTTCTTATATTTCCTTTTCTATTTTGTATGAATAATATTAAAATAAGGGAAATATAATGCAAAATGACAATAGGGTTAACATTCTGCAGACACAAAATTCAGAAAATTCAAACTTTTAGTACAGACAGAAAAATTTTAATTTATAAATACTGCACATCTATTCTATATTTTATGTCTGTCTGTCTCATTTTTGCCCTGGATGATGACATTATGGAGATGCAACACAACCTGTCCACACCCCTGCCTAACCAATTTGCCAATTTACAGGTTATATAATTGGGCCAGATTTTCAAGTGCTCAGCTTCAATTAAGGCACCTAAATGAAGTGGCCAGTTCTGCAAATGTACACCCAGTCGCTCCCATTAAGGTTAATGACAAGCTCCCTCGAGGAGCTGCTGGATGCTGAGTACTTTTGAAAAGCTGGCACATTATTTATGTTCAATTACTCATATTATGATAGCACCCATAGGCCAAATATGGATCAGAGCTCCACTGTACAAGGCACTGTACAAACACAGATGTAGACACACACCTTGTCCTGCAGAGTTTACAGTCTAAAGCCCTGATTCTGCTAGCTGGTAAATGGGGGTGGAGGTGGGAGCAGAAGGGACACACTGATGCTGACACAGAGCCCCATTGAAGTCATTGGGCACAGTGGTTTGCCAGCAAGGAATATCTTGCAGGATTGGGATCAAAGAAGACAAGTGGCAGACAAAAGGTGGGGCAGAAGGAAACACTAAAATACAGTGTTGACTACACTTTGTGATTTATTGTGAGTCTCACAATATTTGGAGTTTTTCTTAAAGCTCCAGCTCCTGGAATCAGGAGAAAACATGAGAATCTTGGGGAGGGGAGTTAAGCCAGAAGGAAAAGAACCCCCCCACCCCCCATTTATTAATTTAAAAATCTCATGATTTGGGAGGGCCTTATGATTTTTGAACATTTGGGGTTGGCAACACTGAAAATATATACAATTTTCACATATGATTTGTTAATGTACAGGTATATGGTAAGCTTCTTTCCTTCCTTTCCCTTCAGGGCTGAGCTTAGGCATCATCTGTTGGCAGATACATTGTAAGCACTGTGGAAGAGGTGGCTTTTGAGGAGGGATTTGAAAAAGGTACTGACCTTTATGGACCAGTTCAAGGATGTAAGGAATAACATGGGTTAAAAATATATATGCAGCATGGTACCCCTCTACAAAGACACGGGCACCCATTAAAGGCTTGGAGCGAGGAGCCATTCTGATTCCTCTCAATCTCCATGGGGAAGCTCCTTGTGAGGTATTTGAAGCCCCATGGCTGCAATAACTTCTGATAGTCTGCTAGCCCTGTCTGGGGAGAGGTGGGACAACAAATTCACAGAGATACTCAGTGTGAGGATAAAGTGGGGCAGGACGTCAATATATGAGTGTGCCTTATCTCCTGAGCAGCTCCATAAATCCAAACAGAAAACGGTCACCTCGTTTCTTTGTCCTCCTTCTGCATATAGCTCGACAGTCCTCAGGACTGATCAGGTAAGCTGCTTTAGAAGGGAACAAGGGACTAACACCCCAGTTACTACTGCATAAGAGAAGGTTAGGTTTTAGCCCCAGTGGGCAAAATATGATTATATTGTCATACATTCCTCAGGGAGCAAGAGATTCTCCAGGTGGGTTGATGAAATAGAGCAAACTATTACGTTATTGCCTTACACACTGGTTACACTCTAGCATGGTGATTTACAACCCACTTGCTCAAAATCAGCCACATAAACCACCACTTACTGTTAAGTAAGCGTTAACATAATTGAAATGATTCATGTAAACATAAAACAGAGTCAAAAGGGTGAAAATGTCAACAGACATTACCATATGGTATTGTGCCCACAGTGGTTTGTGTGATTGTTTCTGAGCCTAAGTCCCACATATGGTATGTTCCTAATCTCCATACCCTCATGCTATCAGTGTGCATGCCACAATGTAATGGTTCCCATTACAATGAATGAGTTACGCTGTTAAAATACTGTGCCTCAGTGTACAGAAATCCATGGATAATGCTTTTTTCCCTAGTCCTACTCTTTATTAATGATCTGCTAAACAATCTGCCAACATTTTTATGATCTACCTGGCATGCTGTAATTCTTAGGGCAGTAAAAACACCACAGGCTAGATATCTTTAAGATGGTGGGTAAATCGTTTTGCCTGACAAGTAAATGACTTTGATGCTTAACTACAGGTGCCTGGAAAAAAAATAACCATAAAGAATCTCCCTCAAACTGGCAAGAAGTGTGCGGTGAAAATGCGGTTACCTTCCATGTGAACGTGCATGGCTATATATTCTAACAACCAACAGGAGACTGAACTCTGAACCCACATAAAAGTCCTCCTGTTACTCCTACCAGCTGGAAGTATGTTAACAAAGAAACTGAATGAAGAACATTATTCATGTTAAAAGAAAAGGAGGACTTGTGGCACCTTAGAGACTAACCAATTTATTTGAGCATAAGCTTTTGTGAGCTACAGCTCACTTCATCGGATGCTGTAGCTCACGAAAGCTTATGCTCAAATAAATTGGTTAGTCTCTAAGGTGCCACAAGTCCTCCTGTTCTTTTTGTGTATACAAACTAACACGGCTGCTACTCTGAAACCTGTCATTATTTATGTTGGGATTTTTTTAATCTTTGGAAATTTGCTTCGTCATAGAATATGTTCATCTAGCGATTCTGAAGCAGAATGGCTCCTGTTCGCATAACACTTCTTTGAGGATTGATTTGTGCTGCTAGTTTGCAACTCCACTCTCCTTTTTTGTTGTTGCTATTGTACTGATCTAGTTACGTCCTTCTTCTCCCTTTCCGGGCTATCGTTTGTTACATCCATTTGTTGAATCTTGTTTCACATTATAACTTTCCACAAAAGGGGCATCCTCTTCCTTTGTGTTTCTACAGTAGCTGGCACAATGGGCCCCCTGGGAGCTTCCATAACACAGATGATGATGATTAATAAATAATAATAATATGCTGTGCACTTAGATTTGCATCTCCTCTGAATGTATTGCACACCAACATCCCTGTACAGGAGCATACAAATCAATGTCTGCCCCCAGGCCCTGATTCAGCAAAGCACCTAAATACTTGTTTAATATTGTGCAGGAAAGTAGTGTCATTGATTTCAGTAAAAAGAAAAGGAGTACTTGTGGCACCTTAGAGACATCTGATGAAGTGAGCTGTAGCTCACGAAAGCTCATGCTCAAATAAATTGGTTAGTCTCTAAGGTGCCACAAGTACTCCTTTTCTTTTTGCGAATACAGACTAACAAGGCTGTTACTCTGAAACCATACACACTGTAACAAGAAAAGGAGTACTTGTGGCACCTTAGAGACTAATTGGTTAGTCTCTAAGGTGCCACAAATACTCCTTTTCTTTTTGCGAATACAGACTAACACGGCTGTTACTCTGAAACCATTGATTTCAGTGGGATTGGTCACTTACTTAAAGTTAAGCATGTGCTTAAGTGCTTTGCTGAACAGGGATAGACTCACTTATACTAGAGGGCATGAAAGAACACAGGCTGGCATTAACTTTGTTGCACTTGTCCTTGAATGACATTACCAATATTTGGACTATGAAGAAATAAACAAGGAGTTGTATAATAAGGACAATCTATTTGGCACCTTTAGGGAACAAAAATTATTGCACTCCAGAATGATTCACTCAGTAAAGAATTAGATTTCAGGCATATTACCTGGATCCACCAATTCTGTGTTTAAAACAGCAAATTTCAACTTAAAAGCTGAGGAGTCATGAAAATATATATTAGGTAAGGGGATCTGAAAAGGAAAAAACAAAACTTTCTTGAGTGGATATTTTTGGCCTCGTGTACCTTTGGGAATAGCACTGATCCAGCAATTGGTGTACTCCCTCAGGTGCTGATCTCTAAGGATAATGTCTACACTGCAATTAGGTGCTTATGGCTGCCCAGTGCCAGTTCACTTGGGTTCACGGGGCTCAGGCTCAGGGGCTGTTTAATTGCGGTATAGACATTTGGGCTAGGGCTGGAGCTTGAGCTCTGGGACCCTCCCACCTCGCAGGGTCCTAAAGCCTGGGCTCATGCCCGAGACTGAATGTCTACACCACAATTAAACAGTCCCTGAGCCTGAGCCCCGTGAGCCTGAGTCAGCTGGCACGGGCCAACCCTGGGTTTTTAATTGCAGTGTAGACATGCTCAAAGGCAGTGTCTTCATTGCAAAAAAGGTATGTTTATCTCACTGTAAAATGTGAGTGGAGTGAAGGCACAGGCACTGTTTACCTCTGTCTAGCTAGATGAGGTCATCCCTATGCCTTCCACCAGGGGTTTATCTTGACTAACTGCATCAAGGTAAGAACTATGGTGCCTTGTCTCCACTAGGATTATAGCTAGCTCGAGTTAGCTATCTCCAGGTAAAAAAACCCCCTTTTAAGCAGTGAAGGTGTAGCCTCAGTGTAGAGAAGGGCATGCAGGGGTTTGTTCGACGGAGGGAACGAGGCGCACCCCTACTTGTACGTGGGGTAAAGCACGATGAGCTCAGGCAGTGCAACTCCTTGCATGTTCATTTCTACACTTTGGGGTCAGCGCCCATGTGGTCTCATTGACTTCTGGTGGCCAGTCGATGAACAAAGGGTATTCCTGAGTGTAGGCCAGGTCTTTGTTCTGCATTGCCTTCGTTAGGCTTCCATTGTTAGATACTAAAGACGGCTTTCCTGACCATCTCAGTGCGGTCATGGGATAAGCCACAAGTACCAACAACTTGTTTACTCCTTGCCTCATTACCTCATTGGGCTCCCACAGCCAGACATCAAACGTTGGTTTCCGAAGTGCTTCTATGGTTTCTTGAGACAGTATGTACTGTAGACAAAAAGACAGAGTCTATTATTAACTACTACAGTACTGAGTTCCCCTCATGTCTTTGTGGGAGCTGCGTTCTGCCCTCATCAGAAGTTCTCCAGCATGCCATTAATTAATTTTCCAAAATTTAGTGCCTCAGCCGTGGCTGGGTAAAATGCATTGTCTCTTGTTGGTTTTAATCTTAAGTTCTTCATATTTTGGGGAATGAAATATTTAACTGCAGGTGATTTATATTGTTATTTTGAACAGTTGTTTTTCTCAAGGGTTCCCACATTTCAATCAGGTGCCAGGCAGCAAAGTTTATGCATGTGTTTATTGTGTACTCAGAGCTCCAAAACAAAATCCAAGTCAGCCTCCAGCAGGACTTAAAGTGTGCTGGGCTGGCACAGAACACAAACCCTGGAAATAACATTTCTAAAAGGCAAGCTGGGTCACCTAGGGTACACATTTTTAGTACCCCCAGGGGAAAAGCCCCTCTGATTGCTTGCTTTTCCTGCTTGCCCACATCCTGGGGAAGTGCAGCCAAGCAGAGCTGCTGCAGGAAACAGGTAAGGCTCTTTCTCCCTCCCCTCAGGAGCTGACACCGTTCTCACAGAAGGGGAAAGGGAGGAGGGAGTAGAAAGAGACCAGCAGCTCCGAGCTGGTGGTCGTGGTGGTGGGGCTGGGGAGACAGGATTGATTTGGACTTTGTGGGCAGGAGATGGGCAGATGTGGAGAGGATGACAGACCTCTCCCCCCCCGCCACTTTTTTCACAGCACTTTAAGCATTGGCCCCCAGTGTTCTGGGTTGTTACTGTGTTGGTAACAATGGCTGGCAATTTGTAAAAAATTCTAGAGTGTCAGAAGATGTTGAAGGTATCTAACCACTATTGAACTGTGTTTTTGAGACAACATGATCAAAATATTCTTGGAATACGTAAATCTAGTATCTTAATTGGTCCACTTACCATAGTTGGCTATAATTAGTTTTGGTATACTATACTGAGAATATAAATGAAATGATCTGCACCACTCCATTGTTATTTAATTCAAGCAAGAATTACATTTGAGGATTAATTCTTCATCTCTGGAAGGAAGTAATCTTGCATTTGCATTATACTTTATTTGTAGTATAGAGTTTTGCTAGACAACTGTAAATTAGCAATACTGATGTATTCATTAATAACTGCATTGTAATTACCAAATCTTTTTCAAGTGAACTGCCACCTCCTAACATGCCTGAGGTCACACAAATCCAGTATTTAAAGCCATAACGAATGTCACACACAGAGCAAACAAAACCTAAACTTCTCCTAAAACCAAGCAATTAAAAGCCTTGGGTTCGAGGCAGAAAGGAACAACAGTTTACCACTGTGTTCAGTTAGTGCAACTCTCTACAGTAATAGTTAATCTCAGAAGCCAAGCATTCTAGCAGTGGGTAAAAGGTTAAGGTATAGTTTCCGTCTACATATCATGGAACAAAGGAATGTAGAGCAGTTTGAGAAAGCATGTGTTAGTAGTGTCAACAACACACATAAATTTAAGCAAAGCCAAAATGGAAATGACATTTTACAGCTCATTAAATCCATTTTCAAGAGACAGATGCCAGGACTACATAAATTACTTTAACTGAAAAATAATTCACTGAGAGGGAAAAAGGTAGAGGCGCCATTACAGAATAGGGAATAAAGTTATAGACTAAAATAAATCTTGTTCTGAGCCTGCAGACTAAGTATCATTAGATAAAACAGAACACGAAATGTTCGACAAATTTCAGGAATTCAGTAACATTTTCAGCTTTAATGAGATTCCAAATATTGAGGGTCGGATTTCAAACCCATTGAAATCAATGGGAGTCTTTCTCTTGGCTTCCAGGGTCTTTGGATTAGGCCCTTGATCTACACCAGTGGTTCCCAAAGTGGTGTTCCCGGACTCTGGGGGATTTTCTGTGGGTCACATGGGAGTCCCACCCTTAAGCCAGGGCCGGAACATGCTGAAACAGCATTCTGGTATTTTTGCTGCATGGAGGATGCCATTTTGTTCTCAAAATGACATCCTCAGCACAGTGTGACCTTTCGCACACAGTGCGTGACAGGTCACGCTGGCAGGGGTGTTCCCACACTGGTGGGGGTGTTCCAATAGTACAGGATATGAAAGGGGTCCCGGACAGTTAGTTAGTCAGATGCCAAAGGGTCCTTGATGGGAAAAAGTTTGAGAATCACTGATCTAAACAATTAAGCTATAGAGTGATGTGAAGTCATGCATTGTATTCCAGCTTCTCATAGGAAGGCATGCTCTTTTAATTAACATCCTGATAACAAAGTACATCTTTTGGTACCTTTGGATAGGATGGTACGTCCCTTCGGGGTGCCAACTTCTTGTTTTCATCTAAGAAGCTGTGCTTACAGGGACAGCTGGTCCTGCAAATGAAAAATTCAGCACTCAACATTGGGACAACAGCAGGTGCATTCTCTTGAGTAGCACTGAATATAATAAAATATCTTGGTATGTGGTCACATAGAGGGTATGTCTACACTGCATCTTAAGCCTGGGTACTAACTCAGGTTTGAGCCCAAGCCCCACTTCCATTCACACACAAATCAGTTTAACTCAGGTCAGCGAGCACTCAGGGACTGGATCTTAGGACCAGCTAGAGGGTGGCTCCGAGCCCAAGTTCTGCTGTGACTGAGGTCCAAGCCCTGTGATTTTGCAACGTGGATGAAGCTCAAGCTGCAGACACAAGTCAGAAGATCTGTGTGGTGCCATATGGATGTAAACCCAGGTTTACAACACAGTGCGGAAGCTGAAGTGTAGGTTTGGAAACACCAAACCCACAAGCCAAGGTCCCACAGACCTGGCTTTACAATGCAGTGTGGACATATCCTTAGAGTTACACTGCTTCCCAATCTCACCTAACAATCTCATTTTCTCTAATCATAAGAAAGAATCAGGGCCAAGTCATTCTTGCCTATGTATGAGGTAATATATAATTGAGGCCACCATAATAACCAAGAAACTCTCTGGAAACAAATGTAGGTGTATATGAAATTCATTCATACTCTTTAATTTAATCATCTTTAATAGAATCATAGACTTTAAGATCTTTAAGAAGGGACCATTATGATCGTCTAGTCTGACCTCCTGCACAACGCAGGCCACAGAATCTCATCCACCCACTCCTGTAACAAACCCCTGACCTATGTCTGAGCTATTGAAGTCCTCAAGTCATGGTTTAAAGACTTCAAGGTGCAGAGAATCCTCCAGCAAATGACCCGTGCCCCATGCTGCAGAGGAAGGCGAAAAACCTTTCAATTCAACCGATTCAATATCTTTATTATCTTTTGTGTAAAATAGTTCTGCTTGAGTTTAGCTTTCACTCCTAGATTCCTAATGTTTATATTATCCCTTTTTATTTTAAAAACACTCAATAGTAAAACAAAAAGCAAAAAACAAAGAAAACTAAAAAAAACCCAAATCCAAAAAACTAAAAAACCAAAAGCCAAAAAAATCAAAACAACCTATCAACTTTGTTTCTTCTTTTCATAATTTTGGAAATTTCTATTATGTCACAACGTTTCCTCTATTCCAGTGTGAATATCCCAATCCTCTAACTTCTTCCTTGTAACTTTGATGTTTGCTATCATCTCTGTTGCTGTATTTTGTATTCTTTGCAAAGCAATTTTGGCTTTTGGTTGATGGTGATCAGTACTGAATACCATCTAACAAGGGCTTTATGCATTAGCAGTATCACTGGTGAGGTCAGAGATTGTCCAAAACAGTCCTAAGAAATCAATCAGTTCATGAACATTAATAGTATTACTCTTTGTATTGTAGTAGCTCCTAGAGGTCCCAGCTGAGATTGGGACTCCATGGTGATGGCATTGTATGAACACTGAATAAGACAGTCCTTGCTCCAAAGAATTTACAATCTAAATACACAAGACGGACAAAGTACAGAAGAAAGGAACTATTATTCCAGTTTTACCGGCAGGGTGCTGAGGTGCAGAGAAACCAATGGCTAGATCCACAAAGGGGATTTAGGCTTAGCATTGCATCTCCTAACTTCAGGTGCTCTGCCTCCCACTTGAGCCCACAGCTCCGAGTCAGATGCTCAGGCTCCCTATACAATGCATGAGGACAGTTAGGTGCCCAGAAATGGGATCTACAAAAGCCAGCACATTGAATAGGGAGCGGCCTAAACTAGCCAATAGGAAATACCAAGGAGAGGGATTTGGCCTCAGCCCTACCCCTCTCAGGGACTTAGGCGCCTAACTCTGGCCCAGAGGTTGGTACCTATATCCATTTGGAATTCACAACTGTGATCCTGCTCCCACAGGTGCTGGCTTCCTCCAGGCCCCAGGGGTGCTCAGTGCTTGACAAAACCCTGGCTAGGATGATTTAGTTGGGGTTGGTCCTGCTTTGAACAGGGGATTAGACTAGATGACCTCCTGAGGTCTCTTCCAACCCTAATCTTCTATGATTTTATGATTCTATGGTAGGCCTGCTCCAAGGCTCCATCTGAGCACACCTACGGGGTTGGGCTCCACAGGCGAGATAGTGGGAAACACCTGGTTTGAAGATCCCATCAGAGTTTAAGTGTGAGTGACGTGTCAGAACTTCAGCAGCTGTGCACATGCCTGCTGCCAGATTTTTAGGCACCTCAGAAACTGAGGTACCTACAGGGTTAAGCAGTAGCTGAGTGCGGGTTTTGAGGATCTAAATTTTGGCCTTAAGCACCTGAAGTAGCAGTTAGGTACATAAATCCCTTTGTGGATCTAACCTTAAGTGACTTGCCCAAGGTCACAGAGAAAGCCTGTGGCAGAACGTGGAGCTGAACCCACATCTCTTGAGATGCAGTCCAATGCATTAACCACAAGAACGGCCTTCCTCATTATCAGAGCCTGCTATAGAAATGGGAACCTCTGGGCCGGATTCATCATTAGCCCACAGCTGATTTGTGCAGTTTGAGGGGGTACTAAACTCTGTAAACTCAGATTAACCAGTCAGTTTCTCCTGTCTAGTGTAGGGGGGATCCCCAGGTGGAGGACAGGCACATTAATGGCTCATAAGCCACACTCCTCCAAGCCCCTGTGCTAGGGGTATGATAGGAGAAAAGGTGGTGTGGTCCCGCCATCCCTGCACCTGGCTGAAAGTAGCTACTGGGGGCGGAGGGCAGAGCAGCATGGAGCAGCCTTCATGTTGCTGTAACTTGCACCAGTGCCAGGACATAATCAAGCACTTATGTATATGCATTACCTAAATTATACCCCACAAGAACCCTCATGTTATTAGCCTCTACAAGCTGCAGGTGCAAAAAATAGGGGCCTGCATTAACAATCTGACCCTTAATGTGTGGGTAAGGGGAAGGGAGCTTTGCTCCTCTTTTTTGAAGAAGCTGATGTGCTTCTATCTGTATGTGATGACACTCCAGGAGGGGCATTTTAAAAACATGTACGTTGAGCATTACTATTCTATTCTATACCATTAAAATATGACTTTGTCTATATACATTTTAATAAACTGTGTAGTGAATGAAATACTGTGGTACGAAGGCTGGATGAAGTGCAAAGAAAACCACTATGTTGCTCTTGGATGTCTTTTTTAGACCCCTCATGCCGTGGGGAGGGCTTGTTTGCTTAGCAACTCAAGGATGAAGCTCCTCTTGCACTGAGTCAACACTTCTTCATGTCACTGCTCCAGCTGAGCCATGGTTGCTAGGGAAACTGGTAGCTACTTGTAATTACTCAACAACTTCAGTGGGGGTCCTTCTTCAGGACAATGCCACACAAGGAGCAGACTTTCCTTGCCTTAGAAAACCAAAGCAATTCACTGGGATCTTTGATTATATTCTGGTCCAGCTCAGGTCCAGCTGCTGATGCAAGAGCCATCTGTTTAGGCTTCAGAGTAACAGCCGTGTTAGTCTGTATTCGCAAAAAGAAAAGGAGTACTTGTGGCACCTTAGAGACTAACCAATTTATTTGAGCATGAGCTTTCGTGAGCTACAGCTCACTTCATCGGATGCATACCGTGGAAACTGTATGCATCCGATGAAGTGAGCTGTAGCTCACGAAAGCTCATGCTCAAATAAATTGGTTAGTCTCTAAGGTGCCACAAGTACTCCTTTTCTGTTTAGGCTGATGACTACAGTGGGTGGCTTATTATGCACGCTTTTAGGTCATTCGGCTTGGACCTCAGTCTTCCTTCTAAAAATAAGAATGAGTAAGCTGATACTTTTCTTTTATTTTGATGATGTGGGAGAGGGAGTATGTGTGTTTGTGGGATTCCTTGCTTCCTTCCATACGTTTAATGGAGAATCTGAGATGTAAGTGGTCTCAATTAAAGTAAAAGCAATTAATTAATACAAATAATTAATTTTGCACTTTTACAGTGTTTTTCTCCTGAAGATGTCAAAGTGGTCAACTCCACTCATCAAGTCTCGTAATACTCATGTAAGTTAAGTAAGTATTATGGTAGGAAGGATGATCTTGTGATTAAAGTATATGATGGAGAATCAGGAGACCTGGATTCTAATCCTGGCCCTGCCACTGGGGGTATGTCTACACTGCAAAGAAAAACCCGTGGCTGTCCCGTGCCAGCCAATTTCGGCTTTCAGGGCTCAGGCTGCGGGGCTGTTTCATTGCTGCAGAGGCTTCCAGGCTCGGGCTGTGGTCTGGCTCTAGAACCCTGAGAGGTGGGAGGGTCCTAGATCCCGGGCTCCAGCCAGAGCCCGGCAGTCAATACAGCAATGAACCAGCACTGCAGCCCTAGCCCTGCATGGACCAGCCACGGTTTTTTCTTTGCTGTGTAGACATACCCAGATTTACTACATGATCCCGTCAGATTGTCTCTCAACCTCGTCTTCCTCATCTGTAAAATGGGGAAACAGTGTAGTGAATTGGCTAGGAGCCCATGCTTTTGAAGCAGAGGGCTTCAAGGTTAAATGTAACTGTGATTTGACAGTAACTAGGTAATTAAAGCTGCTCCCTACACCTCGCTGGGAATAAAGGGAGAGAAAAGAATCAACTGGGGTTAGCCCAAGATCGGCCAAAAAGAACTCAAGAAGAGCAACAGTCGCTGACTATAGTTACCACTACCTCTGAACAGTGGCCCCTGCTGGCACAGGTCCCTCTGACCTTAGGGGAACCAGGGTGCCTTGACCAACCACCATCAATCAACAGTAAATGAAAAAAACCAATTTTATTTTATTTTTTTCACCTTTCATACTCTTTAACACATTGATTTCAATGGCATCACATCAACATAAAACTAGAATTTTGCCATGGTGAGGCAGGCCCCAAGTTTCTATCTTTTTCTACTGCAAAGATGCAGATGTTACAGATCTGCAGCCTTGTAGAACAACCGCAACAGCAAAGATGGGATCTCACTTCTCCAGTGCACCACTGACTTAGAGGAGGTGTGAACTCAACATTCTAATTGCATGCATTTAAATCATCACATTATTAAGAACAGGCAAGTTCATTCTTTCTTTTAAAGCCTACTTACTTAAATGCAAAAAACCTGTGTTAAATCAGCATTATGACTGCCCAGTTAAAACCACAAAAATACAACATTTCGGTCCCACAGCAATGTTAACTTGACTACATTGAATGTATGTAGTATTTTCTATTTCTGATTTTCTGGTTAAATGGACAGCTTACTCTATTGCTGCTCATATTACAAAATACAGACCACAAAACAACAGGATGTGCAGCACAAACGAGTCAAGACTGAGGTTAGAACAATAAGTTTTGCATTTCCTAATTTTGGTGTGATATTCACTGTGCAACCTTAATGTAGCATTAACGTAATTTTTTGTTCTGTCTCTCTCTGCATGCCTGCATGCACACACTCACATACTCCACAAAAAGTCAGGAATCAAACCGCCTCTCCTGCTCCCCCCCCCGTATGCAAATTGAATCTAACATATATTAGAACACAATTTTTTTTTCATAGATTCATAGATATTTAGGTCAGAAGGGACCATTATGATCATCTAGTCTGACCTCCTGCACAACGCAGGCCACAGAATTTCACCCACCACTCCTGCAAAAAACCTCACACCTATATCTGTGCTACTGAAGTCCTCAAATCATAGTTTAAAGACTTCAAGGAGCAGAGAATCCTCCAGCAAGTGACCCGTGCCCCATGCTATAGAGGAAGGCGAAAAACCTCTAGGGCCTCTTCCAATCTGCCCTGGAGGAAAATTCCTTCCCGACCCCAAATATGGTGATCACCTAAACCCTGAGCATATAGGCAAGATTCATCAGCCAGATACTACAGAAAATTCTTTCCTGGGTAACTCGGATCCCACCCCATCTAATATCCCATCACAGGCCATTGGGCCTATTTACCATGAATATTTAATTACCAAAAGCATGTTATCCCATCATACCATCTCCTCCATAAACTCATCGAGTTTAATCTTAAAGCCAGATAGATCTTTTGCCCCCACTGCCCCCCTTGGAAGGCTATTTCAAAACTTCACTCCTCTGATGGTTAGAAACCTTCGTCTAATTTCTAGTCTAAATTTCCTAGTGGCCAGTTTATATCCATTTGTTCTTGTGTCCACATTGGTACTGAGCTTAAATAATTCCTCTCCCTCTCCAGTATTCATTCCTCTGATACATTTATAGATAGCAATCATATCTCCCCTCAACCTTCTTTTAGTTAGGCTAAACAAGCCAAGCTCCTTGAGTCTCCTTTCATAAGACAAGTTTTCCATTCCTCGGATCATCCTAGTAGCCCTTCTCTGTACCTGTTCCAGTTTGAATTCATCCTTCTTAAACATGGGACACCAGAAAGGCACACAGTATTCCAGATGAGGTCTCACCAGTGCCTTGTATAACGGTACTAAAACCTCCTTATCCCTACTGGAAATACCTCTCCTGATGCATCCCAAGACCGCATTAGCTTTTTTCACGGTCACATTACATTGGCAGCTCATAGTCATCATATGATCAGCCAATACTCCAAGGTCCTTTTCCTCTCCGTTACTTCTAATTGATGCGTCCCTAGCTTATAACTAAAATTGTTATTAATCCCTAAATGCATGACCTTACACTTCTCACTATTAAATTTCATCCTATTACTATTACTCCAGTTTACAAGGTCATCCAGATCCTCCTGTAGGATATCCCTGTCCTTCTCTAAATTGGCAATACCTCCCAGCTTTGTATCATCCGCAAACTTTATTAGCACACTCCCACTTTTTGTGCCAAGGTCAGTAATAAAAAGATTAAATAAGACTGGTCCCAAAACTGATCCTTGAGGAACTCCACTGGTAACCTCCCTCCAGCCTGACAGTTCACCTTTCAGTAGGACCCGTTGTAGTCTCCCCTTTAACCAATTCCTTATCCACCTTTCAATTTTCCTATTGATCCTATTGATTTTGCTGCCAAATTCATTCCTAGCCATGATAATGAAATTCCCTCAGATGCCTTAACAAGTGACTATGTAGTCAGCAGGGCAAATTTGTGTCTGTCACGCTGCTTGCTGTAAATCTGGAGCAGTTCCATTGAGGTTAATGTGTTACTCCAGATTTACACCAGAATGACAGAGCAGAATTTGGCTCTAAGACGGTATCTAATACAAATGTGTTTTTTGAACTCTTGCATCACATTCATCTGGATAATCATAAAATTATAAAACCAAATTATTATATTTGAACAAATCTCCCATCTACTTCAGTGAAAGATTTGTCTGCTTAAGGACCAAAAAGTGTGACCCAAAATATAGAACAAAAGTGAAAGGCTTTCAAGACAACACACACAGTTAACTTCGCTTAGGAGACGCCCTTTTTAGCAAGAGTCTGAATTGCCTGGTGTATTTCTCCTTAATAACCGTACCAGCAGTGTTAATAATCTCTTAGTTACCGATATGTTTATCTTAATGATGTATTTTGGAGACCTAAAGGTCCAACACTCCAGCTGATGCAGTGTATCACAACAAGATACAATTCCCTCTGCTGTTTTTTTAATTACAGCAAGTCTAAACTTGGTAATAGCTGATCGGTAGGGTGACTCCTTGAATTTAGAATGAAATCCCTCATTGCTAGTTGAAACTGGAAGTCAATTCTGCAGAAGTGTGAGATCATAATTAGAAGAACTGTTATGTATTTATGTGATATTTTCCCAACTTCCATTTTAAATCTTAGTGGAGCTAATTAGAACACTAGCCTCTTACAAAATAAATGTTTTCTTTGACAGAAGTTTCTCTCTCTGCATAAAACTTGGTGCAAAATTCCTATGACTGGATGGCTGAACACAGAAAAAACAAGACATTAATCTCTGTCTGCAAGAAGATTTTTCTTTCAGTCATCTGGAACAAGCTTTTTTAACGACTGAATTTCCATAAATTCTTAAATGAAACCACAGTCTTTGCAAATGAAGCCAATGCCCTGCACAGCACTGAGCTGCTGATTTGCTTCTGTGTTTAAAAAACCAGAATGACTAAATTCAATGGAATTACTTCACCAGAGTTTGAATACAGAAATCCAGCTGGATTTTTCTTTTCCCCAGTGGCAACTAAAGCAGAACTTACCTGGTGCTTCTTGCTGCCATTTCCTCCCTCATCTTTTTAATGTCACTCTTGCATTTCTCGATCTCTACTACTTTCAGTCCTTCCACTGTCAACAAAGCAAAACAACAGGGGTGTTACCATGGAGAAACATGAAGGATCTTATTTCATTAATTGTGCAGAATTTCAAAAGGGTTGTAACAGTGGGGTTATCCAGTGAGTCAACAGGTTCTTACATGCTGCACCAGTTCCCATACCTGCAGGAGTTACTGACACCATGTAGCTTTAAAATCCTTAGGAATTTTCTGTTGCCAATTTTTGAAATTACCTCGTGTTTTAATTCACAAAATGGCTATAGCATCTAATCTTTTCAGAGCAGTTAGCAACAGTCTACTGCTCTGTTACCTTTTTCACCCCCTCTTCCTTAGAACACTAATCAAAGGAATTAGTTGGCAAAGAACTGCTCCAGTAATGTGATAAGATTGTGACTGTACAGTCTGGCAAAAGTGTCCTGCTAGAATTCAAATTCTTCATTAAGATAAAAGGTTTTAATTTAAAAAGTTCCCCCAGGAGCAATAAGAGACTTTGAGAGGCATGCCTGAATACAGAGAAACCAAAAATAGACATTTTAAAAATGTCTTGGTGCTTAGAAATCATTTTATTTCAGTTAATTACCTAAAATATGTCATGATTCCTTGCGGATAAATTGTTGTGCAATCCAGGGTCATTGTTGCATACAGAACAGGAAATACTATCCTCTCATCTCTATGTATTATAAGTGCCACAAGGCAGAGAGTCTGTGTTTATGTTGCAGCTCGTTTCATTCCCTGCAGCCTTGAGAGCCTCACACAGGTCCAATGCGTGGATCTCCCTCCCTTCTCACTCTCAGGCTACCAACATACTCAAGGACATAATACCAAACCATTTATTAAGCGCATATCATTCACAGTGTGATCATGCCACAGCTCATTTGTTTACTGTACTCACTGCTTACGTAGACAAGCTGATGTGCAGGAAACTCAAGGGAACTTTTAACTGTTGGATCAGTATTCATTCACTCTCTCTTAAAATAGTCATCATCCTACCCACCCATAGCATAACATACAAGTGATGAAAAATTGCTTGGGACGGACATAACTCTGTAGATAGCGGAGAACTCAGATTTCATCTAATTGCTAGTATCAACAGTTACTGCTTTTGGGTATGGGAAGGGGAAAAACACAAGGGATACACAAGCTCAATCCAGATTATTACATATGAGAAGAGGAAAAGGAGAGGGTTCTGAAAATAATTCATGTTTGACGAAAGGGACTTGGAAAGCACATTTCCATCGGAACATTTTGTACTTAATATTTTTAGGAGTAACCCTTAAGATGATTAGAGCTGAAAGGGACGAGAGAAAAAAGGTTTATTTATTCAGTGTTTGTTTGGTGTGCTTTTGACAGCACTTGGTGTATGCTCAATTTTACTGCTTTGTTGGTAGTCAGTTGCACTTCCTGTCTCATACACTGGTACGATGACCTCTATGATGCATGACCAGAAAGAGTTAAGCATCCGGCAGGATAAATTACTCAAATTCAACCCTTAACAACATAAGGGGAGATAATGTTTGTGGTTTTGTGTTTTTACATATATATTGGTAGACGTCAACAATGTAATCAAACAGTCCCTGTCTATGTGTATTCTTTTAATTCAGAGATCAAAAGGACATCTTAACATTTAAATGAACTGTAAACATACGATATCGCTGTATTCATCTTTCTTTGCAATGTATAGCAACCCATCTGCGAATGGCGGAAAAACAGGAAATCGCCTTATGTTAATCTGCGTGGATAATTACCGGGGATGCTTAGGAACTGGGTCCACTTCAAAGTCCACATGAGTGCCTACTGTTCGCCTAAGGATTCCGAGCTGTTAAAAGAAGTCCTGAAACTATATGAAGATATTTGGGTCCCAATCCGTTTTATTTCAGATCTGCTTGAGGCTTCATGCAGGAGAAGCCTAACCCCATAAGGACTGAGATCCCAGTTCTGACTGGACAGCCCTGAATATAAACTGGATTATAACCTGTGAACTACTTCTGAAAGAAACTCTTTGCAACTACAAAGCTCACCATCTCTGCTATGAATCTGAATCTCAAGAATTGTACTCATGTCTGTATGTATACTGATCTTTTAACCAATACTCTCTCTCTTTTCTTTTTAAATAAATTTTAGTTTAATTAATAAGAATTGGCTGTAAGCGTGTATCTGGGTAAGATCTGGAATATTCATTAATTTGGGAGGTCATGTGTCCGATCCTTTGGGATTGGTAGAACGTTTTTATATGATGAATAAGATTTTCAGTAATCCTCATCATATTTGACTTGGGTATCTGGGTGGAGGCCTGAGGCTGGGTTACTATAAGGGAACTGTGTTGTCGGCTTCTGGGCAACCAGTGAGGTACTATAGAAGCTGTTTTGTGTTGGCTCGGTAAAGTAAGTATTGGAATATTCACCAGCTTTGGGGTTTGTCTGCCCCATTCTTTGCAGTTCACCCTAATTGAGTGACCTCAGGTGGCTCCCCTGGGACTCCGGTCACAATTGCGCTTCAGCTTTCCTCAAACCTGCTCACCATCAACACGGGAAAAGAAAACTAATATAATTATTTTTTAAAAGGGTGTTTTTAAAATTAAAAAAAATTAAGTGTTCTTCTCCTTCCTTACATAGCTTTTGGGCAGGCCGGAAACGGTCATGAAATTAATTTGTGGTCATGAAATTAATGTTGTTAGCATTGTACAATCACATGTAACAGCAGTTTAAATTGAGAGGCAGGGCCAGATTCTGCCCTCACTTTACATTTGTGAAATATTTTGTGGTCATTAAATGTAATGCCATCAACGATGCACCAATGAAAGATAGATAGATAAAGTGGTTTGAGCTCACTCATGGCCTTAGATGTCATTCCTTTAGGTGTCCTTTTCAGATAATGAATTTCAGCTATGGTTGCTGACCTATCTAATAACTACTGTGACGTGATAGATCTTTGAGCCGGGGAGGAGGACATTGACAAAAGGGTCATTTTTCTTCCTCCTGGCACAATGTGGTTGTGTATTTTGTTCAGGTGCAACCTGAGTCATGCTCCTTTGGGATTCACAGTTGCACCCTTGTTACACCCCTCGTTTAAGGCCATTTATTCTACTGCAGGATGCTTTGCTGTCTTAACTACGCGTTTATCTACATGGGGAAATTTTACAGGTATCGTTTTAGAGATATTACTCCCCACTTTTATTTCAGCATAAAAATGGCTTTTTTGGGCGGGAGGGGGTTTAGCTGTAAACCCTTCCCAAGCAATGTAAGAAAAGGAAAAGTCACTCTTATACCAGAATAAGAATGTCCCAGTGAGGGTTGCCCAAGTATAAATACATTGGATTATACTGAGAAAATTTTCCTGTGTAGACAAGGCCTTACATACTTCAGTCAGTTACACCCTGTAGGTGTCCACTTGGCACCCATTTATACTTTTCACATCCCATGTATGCCAGCACCTGGTCTCCATTGCAGAAGTCAAGAGCAAAGGAAGCAGCTGAAAAAAGCGTTATTTGCTTTACACTACTTATATATGATAAACTGCCTTGTTTATGCACACAGATCAAGGCCCTTTACATTAATTTGCAGCAACAAATACATTTTTAAAAGACCCTGTAGTTTAAAAAGGCAAATCCTGAATTCTGCACTGGATCATAACTCTTATTGAACTCAGTGGGAGTTTGCCTAAGTAAGGAGTTCAGGATCCAGCTCATTGCACTTATACATTTAAAACACGAAGACCTGGAATTATTTCAAAATGTTGCATACTTGGCACAGTTGCAAGATCTTGAGGTCAAATTCTGAGCAGATGTGTGCACTCGTAGACAGGAAAAAAGGAGCACCTCTTCACCAGCACTGGCTATTGGAGATGCGATCTGATCCATTCAGGCAGAAATAGCCCTGGATAGCCACATCTGTTGTTATTTCTATCAGTAGTGAAACCCAGTTTAAGGAGGAGCCTTGTTTGGGGAAAATTTGTCAGCTCTGTGAATGCTGGCTTCCCAAATCCAACTACCAAGTCCCATGTACTGCAGATACATAATTTATTTCACCATGTAGCTGAAATAAGACAGTTTGCAACTGTGACCCTAAAAGCATCCCAGTGCCAGAGGGAAAGGGACTTGCTGGTATCAGGTAATGAGTTTCAGCTGACCCAACCAATTCAGTGTGCCCTAACTCACTATGGTTATAATCTGTATCTAAAAGGTATCATGCAATACGTGACTGGAAAACTAATAACTCACTGATCGTTAATATTCTGTCAAGGTGTATGCAAAGGGTGCGGACAAAAACTCATGAGTATGTGCTAGAATTATATTCTTGACATGTGTTTGGTGTGTGTTGGCATCCTTTCGTCTGCGAGAGATGGTGGGAATTGTAGCCTACGTTGTAGACGGTTTGCAATGTCTCATGTGTCTGAATAGTCCAATCCGAGATTTGCATGATCTTTGGCAGTTATTGAAAATGTATGTATCTTGGTTGGGAGCTGCTTGCTTCCTATGGGCTCTTTTCTCTTCAAGCTGTAGGAGCCAGTTTCTGTCATAGACTTTGATACCCTGATGGAGACAATGGCGCCACTTATTGTGATCACTTACCAAGATTTCCCATTGGTCAATACCAGGTGTTTGGTAAGTAATGCATAAGCACAGTCTGCCTCCGAAAAAGGAATACATATTTGATTCTCTGACCAGACAGGTCTTCAAGCAGACAGTGAAAGTCCGTTGTTACATATTAGGTAAACAAGGCTATCGAGCCAAAAAATGGGTGAGGAGATAGGATGGTGTCTATGCCCCAGGAGAGAGAAGCTGGGTCTGGGTTTTACTTTTCAAAGAACACATTGTAAAGGTTTACTTGTCTATAAAGACAGGAGGGCTGAACCTCAAGTGATAAGCAATTGAATCAACTGATTATATAGAATATTACTTTATTATAAAAGTTTATAGAGTAAGGTCTTTTCTGAAAGCTAATGACACTGGTGATTAATATTGTGAAATGTATATATTTACAATATATGAGGAAATGTGGATATTTTATGATATTAT